TATTATACCAGATATCGGCGGTCACGTCGTCCGAGTCCGAGAACATGAGCGCCCTTTCGAAGCAAGTGATAGCCATATCAAACTGTTGGGACAAATAGCAGGAAAGGCCCAAATTGTTGTAAATCTGCGAATTACAGGTTCCCATCTGAAGGATGCGCCGGTAATACCGGAGCGCTATCTCCGGCTGATCGTTGTAAAAGTGATTCATTGCGATCGATGCGATCGCCTCTATGTTAATGGCATCGTATGTGAGAACCTCTTTGTATAGTTTGATTGAGTCCTCCATTTCATTCATTGTCTCGTGAATTCTGGCCGCGTATGTAATCAGAAACGTTTCGCCCGGATATTTGTTTAGGCCATCGCTGTATACGTCCAGCGCAGCCAATGGCTGATCCAATCTCTCATATACTCTGCCTAACCATAGGTACACTTCAACGGGAACTTCAATGTGTTTAAGCGCTGACCGGAATTGTTTCTCCGCGTCTCTAATCATTCCTAATTTATAATAACATTTTCCTAACTGTACCTAAAATTGTTAAAATTTAAAAGTATATTTAAATAAATTGATGTCATATTTATAGGAATAGCAGCTGTAATATAGATATGCATACCTTCCACCACCAGTCCTTAAATTGATTAATTTCTGTGGCTTTTGCCGCCAATTCGAGCGCAACTCTAATGTTATTTTCCTGATAATAAATGTATTCAAAGAGTGGTTTGGCCAGTGTTTGAATGGCCGCATATTTTCCTATATTAAGTCGACCCAAATTAATAAAGGGTCCGTCGGGTTGGGCTAACATAGAAGTGGTTCCCATTCGCACGAATCGTCCCGACGATGAAGTCATCGGTCGAGAAGTTCTGGCCGTTCGCGGAGTTTTCAGCGCGTTTTCCATCGTTCCGAGTCTTCCCTGAGTTCCCGGTCTTAACGTTCCGGTTAGCGGACGGCCAGACTGTGTGACCGGTCGTACCGATTGACTCGTTTGCATTGGTCTGGCGGTTGACATTGTTTTAAGGGAAGTTCCCGGACGGGCCACCTGTGCGATCGAGTTGTCGTCCATTAAACTCTCGGCAATTCCCTCCTCATCGGCCTCGAGATCGTCCACATATACCTGTTCTGTAAGGCATCTCATTTTCATACACCAAAACGCCTATAAATTTAATCATAATTTTAATTATATTTCTTAAAACTTCATTTGACATTCATTTGATAAATATATAGATTTAATTATTATTCTTTATATAAAAGTTTATTTTAATTCATCAAAATATTTATTCAAGTATTGATTATATAAATAATATACAGCTTATTATACTATATAATACTGTATATTATACTGTATAATATAATAAAATATATATTATTATATATATTTATTATTATATTATTATAAAATGTTTTATTTATTACAATTAATATATACTATTCGTGCACTTCTTTTAATATTAGTTCTGTATAAACGAAGAATGAAATGATTGCATATGTATTTGTATAGAAATGTATTCATGTTATTATACTATAATATAATTAATAATAAATACAGACAAACAACAAGAATATTCTGCATTTTATAGTCGACAGTATTATTGAATATTGGCCTACAATTTGAAAGGCGTCTAAAATCGCATTTATTAAGATTTTCAATAGTGTTGTTGCAATCAATTTGTTTGATGCACTTGTGTTGAAAATTTCAATTTTAGATGAGATT